AGTCGAGCAATGGAAGTGTCCAAAAGTCAGGGCGATAATAAAGATATTGAAAAAATTTTGGGTGTCTACATTGGGGCCGGTCCTTTCTGGAAGCCACCATAATTATTTGAGGGTGACAAGGGACCTTGCTCCAGGGACCGCTTGCAGAATTCTGCACTTGAGCATGCACAAGTTGGCAGGAAAATGTAGGTCCTTCTGGACATGTGGCCAGCGGCTGAACCCTTAATCCTTCATTCCCTGTTCTTCCCCCGGAACCTCTGTGTGAGCATGCAGAGTTTAGCTTCTGGAGACCCACGGCGTTCCGAATTTTCTTCAGCATAGGAGCCATTTGGGAGACCTTGCAGCCTTTCTAACGATGCAAAAAAGACTACAACAAGGTTTCAGGCTTTCGGGTCTCTTATTGCAAGTGGGCAGGCAAGAACTTGAACTTGAGCTTACAAGCAGATTGATATCTTGCAAGATCTTGACAGGAACTTTAGCATGATATCCAAGCATGCGGAACAAACCTCTTACAAAATCACAGAGTCGTACGGCTTGATGCGCCGCCTGTCATTTAATTATGTGCGACAAGCGCGCGCATCGAAAAAGAGGATATCTGAGGTAAGCCTGGCAACAGGGAAGAACGAAGTGGGGGAGTTCTGAAGCTTAGGGACACGGTATTGCGGGCCCTGACTGCATTGTCCCATCGTGATTCAGTGCAACCCTGAATCACTATCTTGCTATTAGTGGTATCTTACTACTACTGCTTTTTCTGCTGCTGCTGCTGCTGCTGCTGCTGCTACTACTACTACTACTACTACTACTATGATGACTATGACTATGACTATAAACACTATGTTATCTGAAGCCTCCCTTTTTGAGCCGTACAAACCCAAACTCTAAAGCCCTGACCCTGCACTCCACATCCTAATTAAGCCCTAAACCAAACCTGAAACCCTAAACCCTAAAACCATAAAACCTAAAACCCTGGACCCTAAACCCTAAAACCTAAATACCACAACAGATCCAAGGTCAAGCGCAAAAATCGCTCGGAAGACGTGACGGTGGATCCCTGAGTAAGGATCTAGGGATGGGGGTTTGGATGTTTTGGGGGGTTAAGATCTTGAACACCTAAACCCGCACAAACGTTGGTTTCCAGATTCTAGGGTGGTGCTATGTACCAATAAAATCGTACTGAGGCGTCCTCGGACGTCAACGGGCTCGTCTTGAGAGCAGCTATGGTTGATTCAAAGCATATGGGTGGTTGTCAAAATTATGGGCCCTTTCTTGGGGTACCCTAAATATTAGGTGCCTTACTA